CTCATACCCCAAATATAACCTATCTGCAAACTCCTGGGGCTCCTCCCGGCTCCAGCCTCTTCTTATGACCTCCACAGCTCTTGCTGGCCCCCCGCCACCATTACCTCCACCTGGATCACTATAGCAGCCTTCTGACTGCTGCAGCTCTGCCCCTTGTCCACAGCAACGTCTTAACACAGCAACCAGAAGGAGCTATTAAAGTCTCACTGGGATCTTGTCACTCATCTGCTCAAACTCTGGGAGGCCCCACACAACCGCTGCACACTCCCCTTTGGCCTCCTCTCCAGCCACACTTTTGTAGAACATGGAAGACCTACGCCTGCCTCAGGACTTTTGCATCTGCTTTTTTTCCTTGCCAACCTGCTTCCCCCAGATTCTGCAGGAAGCTTCATCCCCTACACCTACCGGGAACTATTTCTGAGACGCTACCTTCCCCGGAAGGCCTCAACGACCCAATTTAAACTTTGCAACACGGCGTACCTCCCACGCCATCCTCTTTCCTGCTGGATTTCCCTTTATTGCACTTGTCGCTGTCCACTATGCATTTGATTTGTTTATATTTTACTGTCTGCATCTCTCACCTCCATTAGAATGGACAAGGGCAGGGGCTGGGGATCTAGTTCAGTGATGGAGCAGTTACCTAGAACCTGCAGGGCCCTTTTTAGGCAGGGGCAGAAATGAGTGTCTGTCTCCTTCCTCCAGGATTCTCAGGGCCTCCCCCAGTGCCCGGCATGTCGTGCATGTTCAACGAATCATCGCCGAGAGCCAAGGCCATGGGGGAGTACACCATGTGGCCATGGCTCACGGGTGGCGGCACTGGGAGCCTGCACTGGGGTTGTCTGGCTGTGACTCAGTGTGTGGCGGGGACACCTGGAGGGGAGATCAGCACAGGCCACCGGAGGGCACAGAGCTGCCAGGGCTCCGTGAGGAGAAGGGAGTGATGTGGGCACAGCGTGTGCGCTTGGCAGCAACCGGGAAACTGCGGCATGACTTTGAGCAAGTCACCGCCTCTCCTGGAGCCTCCRTGTCCGGCTGAGTGAGGGTGGGAGTGGAGGCTGCGTGGGGCCTCCCCTGCGGATACTCCTGCAGCCTGGCCCTTCTCGCTGATGCGCGGTGGCCTCCGGCAAGTGCTCCGTTTCCTCCCGATGTGGCTCCTCCTTCCTCCTTCTGTGCCACCCGCTTTTTGGGCACCAACAGGAAGTGCTGGGCAGTCAGTATGTGCCCAGCAGGAAGTGAGGGAGGGAGGCTGGGAGGGTCCCCTGCTTCCCTGGGGCTCTTTGCCCACCCACTTCTGCTGCGGTCCCCTCCTCCATGCCGGGCCAGCACCCTAGACGCCTGTGGCTCGCTTCCCCTGGCACCAGTTGCACGGGGACAGCCCCAGATGGCTCCCTGGCCCAGGGACAAAGGCCACACTGTGCCTGGCCCTGGGCTGGCCTTAGGCTGGGTCACACTGAGCCCTTCTGTCCCAGTTGGGGGTGAGGGGCAGACAGCACCAAGGTGACAGGCCCTTTTCCTGTTTCCCTTCCCCCTCAGCCCCCAAATCTAAGGAGCTGACTCTCCCAAGGGAAAAGTGACAGAAGCATCTTGTGTCTTGAGTTAGGGAACAACAGATCATTCACTGCCCGGTCTGCCCTGTCACACCCAAGGCCCTGCCGGGTTCAATACCCTGATTGTCCCCAGCGGAGAGAGACGTCCCACTCTCTGCTCGGGTCACCACCGCCGCCGCCTGCTCCCCTGTCACCATCAGGAAGTCCATCCCTGCATCTGACCTCCATCCCTCCCGCTGCAGTGACAGCCACTTCCTCTTGGTCTCTTCTCCAGCAGGTGGAGAGCAGCTGGTCCCCATCCCTCTGCAGCACTTTGGCCCTACATTCCTGCTCCAGTCAGCTGCCCCCAGCTCCGCCTTCCCTTTGGCTCCCTGTCCCACCCTCTACCCCACCCCAGGCTGAGAGCTGGCTCCACCATCCGAACTGAACCCCGGGGAGCGGGTGTGATTCAGGGCCGGTTGTCCTTTGTCCGGCAGAAACTGGGGACCCCCCTCTCAGAGGGTTGTAATGAGCTCCCCTCCCCCGATGCCACAAGCCAGAGCCAGGGTGTGAGATTTATGGCTGCTACTGGTAGATTCCTGAGCCACCAACCCAACAGGCCAKCCCATAAATCCCAGACGGCAAGATGGTTTTATGAGGAGGCCTTGTTTTTAGAAAGGGGTGTGGCTGGTCCCTCCTGGCAGAGCTCAGACCTCAGGGAGCCAAGAGCCTGCCTCCCCTGCCCCCACTAGGGTGACCATGACCAGGGCTGGGAACATCAGGCTGTGAACCACAGAAGTGCCTGTTTCTGGGACAGTGACACTTCCTCTTCCAGAGGGATCTCCTGCTGCACTGGGCCTACCCCCAGCCCCCTCCACCAATCTGAGGGTGTCCCACCTCAGCAGAGGGCAGGCTGGAAACCTGGGCACATCATCAGCCCTGACTGGGACTCCAGATGCTTCCCAGCTATGGGCTCCGTGTGCAGGTCATTGGAGAGACTGTCTAAAAATGCATTTTCCGTCGGACACAGTGGCACATGCCTGTGATCTCATCTACTGAGGAGGCTGAGGCAGGAGGATGGCAAGCTCGAGGCCAGCCTGGGTAACAATGAGAACCTGTCTCAAAGAATGCATTTTTCTTGCCTAGTATACTCAAGGCCCTGGGTTCAACCTCTAGATCATAGTGGCAAAAAAAACCAGAAAATAAAAAATAAAAGAAAGCATTCTCCCAGGCACCAGCCTCCAAGCCTTAAGAATTTGAGAGTGAGACCCAGACATTTGAATTTTTTTTTTAACTTTGCTCCCTGGTGATGCTGATAGCCACTTTTGCAAACAATTCATCTGTACAAGGATATCTCTGCTCTCCTTTTTGGCTGAAAAACGAGTCACCAGGTAGGGCATGTCTGACTCTTCTTGTCATATATCCTGCCACCAACATGAAGCCTCCATCTGGGTCCCCTTGGCTGGTGGCTGCACACCGAGGTGTGGGACAGGGTGGCTGTCCTCTGGGAGTTTCTGTCAGTGACAGTCCTGCAGACCGTGGACTTGCGACATCACACAAAGGCCCTGAGAGTGGCTGAGGCTGGCTGGCAGGAATGAGTTTGGGGATGGAAAGAGTCTAAGGCTCGTGGGCTTTGGCAAGGAAGCTGGGAGAAGAGTTCTCTGCTAGCCTCTCTTGGATGGAGGCATCACTAGTCCCTGAATCCCTTGAGAATAGGAACCACGCATCTCTCACCTCTCTAACCCCAGGGCCCAGCACCCTGTAGCCTATAGGTGCTCAGTCTATGGCATGTTGAGCTGACCTGAGGGACACTTCAGGACCTCATGGCCTCATGCCGGAAAATACGGACCCGAGGCTTCTCCTCTGAGAGGTGCTGGCCTGGGCTTAGGCAAGCTGGAAGGCCACAACTTAGCTATGTTTGGGGGCAGCCAGAAGCATGCAGTGTCAGAGGGAGAATCCAGGCTGGCTGAGGACAGAAGGACATGGTTATTAAGCAAAGCAAACATGTTACTGACCCATAATCCCTTAAAACTGGGGAGGGTTCAGGAGGGGTCGGGTTTCCTTGGCAACTAGGTGCTGGCCAGGGGCAGGACTGAGCATCCTCCAGGAATGGTCTGTGCCTTGCAGGGGACTGTAGGGCRGCCCCTCCCATCACAGAGTGACCCTGGTGCCTTCTTAGGGTGGGGAGCCTGGGTAGCCTTTTGGTCCAGGGCCTCCCCTGCAGTCGAAGGCTATATGGCAAAACAGGATGAGGGGACAGCTGCATTGGGAGCTTATGAAACCAGGAAGGGAAGGAGAAGGGAGGGGAGGAGAGATGGGAAGCCCCACTTGGAGGTTTCAGAGCCAGGGGGAGAAAGAGGAGTCTGGGATGGAGCAGTTAGCAAGGGTCATTGGCAGGCCAGAAGCCTGTCCTCTTATTCTGAGGCCAATAGGAGCTAAGCAGCCAGGGAGGGGGACTTTTCTGGCTGGGGAAGGGGCCCTGGGGGTGAGAGTAGCCCCCTGCCTTGTGTTCTTAGTGGAGGACACCCTGCCTGCTCAGCAGACTCTGGCTTGGGAGGGGCCAGAAGGGCTCTGACCTTTCCTTCCCTGGGGGCCTTCTCTGTTTCCGGCAAACTTCTGTATTTCCCCTGGGACCTTCAACTGCTCCTGGCCTCCATATTTCAGCTAGAGAGAGCTAGGGCTGGGCCCGCTCCTGGGCTCCTTCCCTCCTTCGCTCCTCTCCTCTCTTTTCCGGACTCCTGTGGCCCAGGGCAAGCCAGACAGACTTTCCAATACCAATATCAGGGTGAAAAGGAGGCTGGGACCAGATGGTGTCCTAGGGGTGCAGACCATGCCGACGCTGGGCTCGTGGGCATCCATCAGTGTGCCTCCCTGACTGCTGACCCTCTGAAGCTCCTGCAAGTGGACAAAGAGCTGCTGGCCTGAGGAGCAATTCTGGCCCCCTCCCTGCCATGCCAGCCCTCCCCTGAGAACTCACTAGACCCTCAGCAGCCAAAGAGTTAGCATGGCAGGAGGGGTCCTGAAGGACCCCCYGCACATCGTGCAAACTAGGCAATGCCGTTGTGACCATCTCCCCAGGGAAAGGATTGGGGAGGGGGCTGAGAGTCACTGGGAAGAAGGAACTGGGTTAGGTCCCACCCCCTGGACTCTGGTTAAGAAGTCACAATTCTGAGCCAGGCACAGTGGTGCATGCTTGTAATCCCAGCGGTTTGGGAGGCTGTGAAAGGAGGATCACAAGTTCAAAGCCAGCCTCAGCAACTTAGCAAGGTCCTAAGCAACTCGGCAAGACCCTGTCTCTAAATAAAATACAAAAAGGGCTGGGGATGTGCTCCGAGGCTAAGCACCCCTGGGCTCCATTCCTGGTACACACACACACACACACACACACACACACACAAAGTCAATTCTGCAGTGTGCAGGGCTGCAGAGCTTGGTGGGAAGAAGAGCAGCCCCCAAATGTGGATTTGGTTCCAGGACTCTGCTGCTGGTCCCTGATGATCATGAACAAGATGAAGAACTTTAAGCGCCGGTTTTCGCTGTCAGTGCCGCGCACGGAGACCATCGAGGAATCCTTGGCTGAATTCACCGAGCAGTTTAACCAGCTCCACAACCGGAGGAATGAGGGTGAGGGGTCAGGCCACTCTGTGCTCTCCTACCCCGACTTTCCAGAAAGCTCCTGCTTGCCCTGCCCACCAGCCACCAGCCACCACAGTTCCCCACAGCCTTGGGGGAGAAGGACAGGTCGGGTGGGCAGTGGGGCCTTCCTCCCCCTCTGGCAGACTGGCAGGGAGGGGCCCTGATGTCTGTCCCTCTCAGACCTGCAGCTCAGTCCTCTTGGCAGAGACCCTGTACCGGAGCCCAATGCCTTCTCCCCTACAGACAGCGGGGAGGAGCCCGGGCAGCTGTCCCCTGGCACGCAGTACCAGCGACGGCAGAACCAGCGTCGCTTCTCCATGGAGGTGAGGGAACTCTGTCTTTACTCCACCTCTGTGGACTATAATCTCCTGGTCTTTAAAACTGTTGTCGTGAGGATTAAATGAATTGATATTTGCCAAGTGCTTGGAATATTCCTGGAACATAGCAAAGGCTAGACAACTTGACTGTCGTTCTTGTGACTCATCGGCATGTGCCAAAAATATGAAAAATAGGCTTACAGAATTACAGTGTCTGAAGGCACGAGATTTATGTTCTATAGGTGGTGGTACTGTGGCCCAGAGAGGGGAAGGAAACTCCTGAGGCCACACAGCAACCCTTGGGTATTCACATGTGACTCTGAGCACACCCTTGAAGCAGCCGTGAGCCTGGGGTCACGGCCTGTGGCTTGGTTCTGCYAYGGTTGCTATATACAGACCTGGACCCAGAGTGAGGATCCAGGGCCCTGAGGTCTTAGCTACCCCTGGAGCCAAAGCAGTGACTCCATCTCAATCTGGTCACCACAGGACATCAGCAAGAGGCTGTCTCTGCCCATGGATATCCGCCTGCCCCAGGAATTTCTCCAGAAGCTACAGCTGGAAAGCCCAGATCTGCCCAAGCCTCTCAGCCGCATGTCCCGCCGCGCCTCCCTGGTGAGTCCAAAGAGGGTCAGAGGTCCTGAGGGTGATCTACCCTCTTTCCAGCATCACTTACTTATCAGTCCTGACTTTGTCCCAGCTGTGGACTGTAGTGGTTTCCAGAAAGATTCCTGGGCTTCTGGTGCCACCTGCTGGCCTCTGGATTCAAATAGATGTCCCACCGGTTCAGATGATCCCACCCGATAAGACTGACAGGCCAGCTGTCCTGTGCTTCTCCGTCCTACCTGCCTACCAGATCTGTGGGGAGCATTGTACAAAACACAGACTCCGGGCCCCACTCCAGACACCTGCAGAATTAGCTTCTGGGTGGGGCCCGGGAATCTGTCTTGCTCCGAGTTGGCAACACCTGAGCTAGAAGAGGTGTGCCCATGAGAGAGTGCTGGCGAGGCATGTTCTGTCCCAGACACCACCGTGCGAGGCAGAAAAAGACCCAGCACCTGCCCAGAGGGACCTAGTTATCTGAGCAAGACAGACAGGGGATCGAGGCGGGCAGCGATCCCAGGTGCAGAGCTCTGGGTCCCACACCTCCCAAGGTCATCGGAGGAAGAAACTCACACTTCAAGGGCCCTCTCCACTGTCACAGGGATGAAGGGGAAAGAAGAGGAAGGATTTGAGGCTGTCCTCCCTCTGCAGATGGGGGTCTCACTCTCTTTCCTCCCAGAGGCTGGAGGTGGGGGAGGCGGGCAGTAGGTGGGGTTGTGGGGACTTTCCATCTCAGAGCACCTGTGTCTCCCTTTCAGTCAGATATCGGCTTTGGGAAACTGGAAACGTACGTGAAGCTGGACAAACTGGGGGAGGTAAGTGGCTGGGTTGGGTCTCCTCCTGGTAGCCATGCCAGGGCATGTGGGGCCTGCCCCCCCATGTTGCCTGCCCCACCAAGGCACATGACCTTGGCCTCCTGGCCAGCCTTTAGCAGGCTTTGCAGTGAGCCTTGACCCAGAATGAGGGCRTGAGGACAGTAGCCCATGGGCTCTGAGCACAATCTAGCCTTTTCTTCTTGTAAGTACTTCCGGCCGAGATTTCAATCCCAAGTCTGCTGTTCACTAGCGCTGTGACCTCTCTCTGCCTCAGTTTCTCCTGCTCAGTGTTGATAGTGACTGTTCCACCTCCTAGGGTTGTTGTGAGGACCGAGTGGGTCAYTATAATAAGCTTAGGTACAGCATTTAGACATTGCCTGGCACCTAGTCAGGGTATGTCCCTAAACTATTTCTGTCACCACTGCGTCAGGCTTTGTGTTACAGGCCTGAGGTGGGCGCAGGGAGGAGGAAGGCCTTTTCCCTCAACAGGTTCAAAGAGGAGACCTGCGTGTCAACATCAATATGATATGAGGAAGAACAAAGCTGGCATTATAATTAGGGGGCACTCGGCATGCTGGGGCTGGAGGAGGGAGCAATGTTCTGACCAGCAGGTGTTAGGGTGCTCCACAGAGGAAGTAGCTTAGGGAAAACCGAATTCCAGTGAGGGGAAGGGTGCTCAGGTAGAAGACCCAGCCCATGCACAGGGACAAAGGGAAGGCCCGGGACAGTGTGACATGAACGTTCCTGGGGCTGATGGCTGGCTCTTCATCCTAGGGCACCTATGCCACGGTCTTCAAGGGGCGCAGCAAGCTGACAGAGAACCTGGTAGCCCTGAAGGAGATCCGGCTGGAGCACGAGGAAGGGGCGCCCTGCACTGCCATCCGAGAGGGTACAGTGTCACAGGGCCCTGCATGCCCCCGGGGCTTCTTGGAGGAGGCATCGGCCACTTGGGCCCCAGTGGGAGCCCGGGGTGGGGGAGCCACTGTTAACCCCAGGAAGACAGGGTGTGAGGGGTACGTGGGGCCCTGGGGACCCAGGCGGGCCTGTCTCTCCAGTGTCTCTGCTGAAGAACCTGAAGCACGCCAATATTGTGACCCTGCACGACCTCATCCACACAGACCGCTCCCTCACCCTGGTGTTTGAGTACCTGGTGAGCTGGGCTGAGACTAGCAGCCTCTCCCCCTTGCGGCAGGGGTGGGGTGTGGCCAGGGACAGGGGGGACGAGGGAGTGGGAGAGGTGGGGCAAGGGGTGGCCCAGGCCTTGTTCTAGAATCAGGCTTTCGGATGCTCCTGTGCAGCAGTGGGTCAAGGGCTCAGGCTTAGGGGCGACTTGGAGCCAGGGACCTGTCCTGAGGCTTGGGCTCTGCCCAGACCCCAGTCTGATCTACTCAGTCTATTCAGGTCAACGCAGAACTGAGTCAGGCTCTATGTTCCAGGACAGTGACTTGAAGCAGTATTTGGACCACTGTGGAAACCTTATGAGCATGCATAATGTCAAGGTGAGGGCCTCCGAGGCAGGGGTCCCCACCTACCGTGACATCCCCCTTCCCAAAAGCCCAGCAAGGGAGCCCACTCTCACCACCAGGGCCCCGGTTCCCCCAGCTACTGTGTTTGCTCAGACCTTCAAATKCGGGAAGCAGGGAAAGCCACTGCCATTCAGTGAGCCCAAGAGCTGGGCCGAGTGCCTTACCCCAGGAGCACGGAAACATGCCCTCCCCGACTGTCTAGCTGTTGATGTAAAACCCTTCTAACTCGGAGCATCCGTTTCCCCACCTGTCAAATGGGAGCATGAGCTACCTGCCAGAATGAAGAGAGGCTTCTGGGGAAGCTGGGAGGGATGGAGAGCCTCTTCTGGTATTTTGTTAAAGAACCAAGAGCATACATCCCCACACAGGCAGGGGACCCAGTGTGCCTCTCGCCATACCCCTTGGCTGGAGAATTCTTGGGCATCCTGCAAACTCACTGGCTCCTCTCCACAGCTGGGGCCTTCTGGTCCGATGGGATTCCCTGTTGTGCATGGGGACCAGGATGGGGCTGCAGGGTGGGTAGGAGAACCAGGTAGCTTCTCCAGGGACTTTCCTGACCTCACCCCAAGTCCCTGCCCCTGGTCCAATCCCAGCCTTACAGATGGGACACACTCCTTTCTCTTCCCTCCTCTTTAGATTTTCATGTTCCAACTGCTCCGGGGCCTGGCCTACTGTCACCGACGCAAAATCCTGCACCGGGACCTGAAACCCCAGAACCTGCTCATCAATGAGAGAGGCGAGCTGAAGCTGGCCGACTTTGGTGAGGCGAGGGTGGGGATGTGACATCACCGAGGTGCACAGCTTCTAAGGATGCTGGTGCTGCGGGAGGGCTCTGGTCTGCCCAGAAGTACCTGTGAGCAAAGGTTGTGTGATATGTCTGTTCCTAGGACTGGCCCGGGCCAAGTCGGTGCCCACAAAGACCTACTCGAACGAGGTGGTGACCCTATGGTACAGGCCCCCGGATGTGCTGCTGGGATCCACAGAGTATTCCACCCCAATCGATATGTGGTGAGCAATCAAGGGTGGAGGGGAGGAAGAGGGGCTGTCCACACCCCTAGACTCTGGAAAGAACTGCCAGGCCTCCTTGATGAAGCCACGGGGCTCCCTCCTGCACTGGATATTAAAAAATTAATAAAGGCTCCAGCACTGTGCTTAGGTCATACCCCCCCAAGGGGTGTGTAGGGGGAGGGTACTGGAGGGTCCCTACAGTAAATATGAATCTTCTCCAAGCATCAGTCCTTGTGAAAATTTTGAAAAGGACAGGATACATTATTTTTCTGTTAAAATTAACAGATATATGATTTGGGATAAAATGAAAAACAGCCCAAATTTAAAGCTAACACATAGGCTTCTGCTGAATAGCCACTGTGTGTTTGCCCCCAGGGCTCCCTAGAAGTCCTGTTGAAAGAACTGCTATTTGGGTAGTGCACATTTATACCTATTAAGGGTGAAAGGTAAAGGGCACACCTCCTAGTGCCCATGGCAGCCCCCAGAGAGGGGCTGTAGTAAGAGACTGGGTAATTCTAGGAGGCTGCCCTGTCCTGAGCCACCCCCACCCCTACCTTGACCCCTCAGCCATCTGTGGCAGGGTGACCTTGGTACCCTGGTGGAGCAACCTTAGTAAGGCATGCTGCCCCATCCTGATGCCACCCTGCCCCTTGCTCCCCGCAGGGGCGTGGGCTGCATCCACTACGAGATGGCCACCGGGAGGCCCCTCTTCCCCGGCTCCACAGTCAAGGAGGAGCTGCACCTCATCTTCCGCCTCCTCGGTTAGTCTCCTGCCGCTCCCTCCCTCTCGCCACCAGGGGGCACTAGAGCTCTTCCAGTCCAGGCGCAGGGACGCCCTGGGAAGAGCCGCTTATCTCAACCGAGCAGGGACCTCATGGCTTCGGTCATTCTTGGCTGCCTCCTTTGACACTGCACCCCTCACGTCGGCCTTCACCCCGCCCGTATCTCTTCTCTCCAGGGACCCCTACAGAAGAGACGTGGCCCGGCGTGACGGCTCTCTCCGAGTTCCGAGCCTATAACTTCCCGGGGTACCTCCCACAGCCGCTCCTCAGCCACGCCCCCAGGTAGCCACGCCCCCAGGTAGCCACGCCCCGCTGTGGTCCAGGCTCTGAGTCCTGGAGCGGCCCCTCCCCGCCCTGCCCTGCGGCGCAGGTGCCAGCTCCTCCTTCTTGCAGGTTGGACACGGATGGCATCCACCTGCTGACCGGCCTCCTCTTGGTAAGTGCCCCCCCACCACCGTTGAGTCCAGGAAGAGGCAGCCGGAGAGCCCAAGCCCCAAGTTCCCACCCCTGCCCTGTGCCCCAGTTTCTGAGGCTCATAGTCTCCCCGCCATCTGCGCCCCCAAGGCCCAGGAGGAGCGCTGGTTTCCATACCCTGCCTTTGAAGACAGCTTCACATTCCAAATCCTAGTTCAGATCTGCTTCCGAGCTGGGTAGCTTTAGGCATGTTCCAGAGGACTTTTCTGTGCTTCCGTTCCCTCAACTGCAAGATGGAATGAATGATTCATACTTTACAAGGTGCTCTTGAGCAAACAGTGAGATTGTGGGATGCAAAGTGTTGCAAACCATAGAGGACAGTTATTGGTCTTACTCACGAACATTACCACTATTTCGGGTGATGATCTTGGTTGTCTTAGCATCTGTATTTCAATCTCAAGATCAATTCACTCCCCTGAAGTCCTTTTTATGTGAGCTGGACACCTGGGAGCCTGGGAGTCTGAGACTGCCCAGGATTGGGTCAGTGGGGGCCTGTGTCTGACTCCAAGGGCTCCTCAGGATAGATTCTGCCCACCCATCTTGGTGATCTAACTTAGCATAGGAGACACTGCCCATAGGGGCCTCCATGTCCCCCAGCTGGGACCCAGTAGCCCACCCTATGCTTTCAGTATGAATCCAAGAGTCGCTTGTCAGCAGAGGCAGCCCTGAGTCACCCCTACTTCCGGTCTCTGGGAGAGCGAGTGCACCAGCTGGAAGACAGTGAGTATCTAAGGGGCCAGGACCATCCCAGAATCAAGGAAAGCTGGCAGCAGGAGTGGGTGGGACAGCTGAGACAGAGAGTCCAGAGGCCCAGTTCCCACTGAGCAGCCTTGGGCGTTTGGCTTCCCCCCCCTCTAACTAAGGGGGCAGACTCTCAGATCTGAGTGGTTGCTGAAATGCTGGGTTAAGTCCTCCTGGGCCAGTCCTGAAGGGCTACCCAGCCAGGGTGCCCTCAGCTCCATGGACTCAAGGGGATGAGGGCAGCAGGTTCCAGGAACAGGTCTGCTCTACCCAACCCGCTCCCCCTCTTCTCTCATCCAGCTGCCTCCATCTTCTCCTTGAAGGAGATCCAGCTCCAGAAGGACCCAGGTTACCGTGGCTTGGCCTTCCAGCAACCAGGTAGGGCCTCATGCCTCCCAGCGGCTCCCCTTGGTAAAGGAGGCCAGGCAGGCTACCACTCCCCAGTGGGGACCTCCCTCTCAAGGAATAGAGATGAGCCCAGAAGCTCCCTGTGTTAGGGAGTCATCATGGTCCCTCCTCAACCCTGTCCAGACTGCCTTGTCCAGTCCTTCCTCAACACCCCAGATAGATTGCTGCATTTGACAGGTGCATGCCCTTTTTGGTACATTCTCTCTGCAGACCCTGAGCCCTCTGGCATCTGGGAGAACTACTTTGTCCCCAGAACAGCCAGTGGCCTTGGACCTGACAAGTGTTTTCCTTGCATTATCTCATTCAATCCTTAAAATACCCCATAAAGGTACAAATCATGTTCCCTAGTGAAACTGAGGCTCTGAGAGGTTAAATCACAATTTCATGCAGCTTAAAAGTACCAGAGATGAGCGATTAGCCCAGGACTGCCTGGCTTCTGAACCCCCAGATCTCAGGCATTTTGCAGCCTAGCCTCCTCCCTGCAGTCCCACCCATTCCTCCGTTCTCCAGGTCGAGGGAAGAACCGGCGGCAGAGCATCTTCTGAGGTGGGCCCACCCTGCTGCAGCTTGGGGGACATGAGGTCACGTGGAATCCAAGTTTGGGTAGGATGAGACCATTGGAGGACTGAGGAACGAGAGCCCGTGGCTGGAAGACTGTGTGGCAGCCTTGCTGGTCACAGCTGTTTCCTCTCCCTTCTTCCCACAYACCTCCCTGGTGGCCTTTGCCTGGACACCAACCCTTGTCAGCCACTGTGGGGCCTGAGTTGCTCCCCTGAGAGGAGATGAGGGGGCAGGGAGAGACCTGGGACCCTCTCCCAACCTGAAGTGCTTGGATGTCAGCGTGGGACCCGCCTGGACAGGAGAATTCAGGTGCCTGGCTGAGTACGGTGCCCCGGATAGGGGTTCCACCGTGCCTCCCTCTGGGGCCTGCCTGCCCCAGTTGGCAGATCCCCTTTCTGACCCCTTAGAGCCCACACACATTTCATCTTCTCCTTTGAGAGCAAGAAGGGGCATGGCAGCTTGTCTGGGAACCCAGAATACTGGGTGCTGATATGTGCCTAAGGCCAGCCCCACCTCAGGGGCAGATGTCTCTGTTGTCAGAGGAATGGCAGCCTGTCCTCTTGTCCTCCCCAGCCTGCTGTCTTTCCCCTCCTAGCCAGAGGCCCCGTGTGCCCCCTGGCTTGAACCAAGGCCGAGCAGCACCAGCCTGCTGCTCCATGTCCAGCTGCATCCGGAGGTGGCCTGGTACTGCCGGCCGCACTCCTGCCACCTCAGCCAGCCCCCGCCCGTCTCCCCAGTCTGGATGGAGTTGCCTTAATTTGGCAGGTGGCAGAGTGTACACTGCCCTTGGAGCTCTGACCCAGCTCCTACTGTCCCCTTTCCAAGAACCGCCCCTGCTGTTCTTATCCCTGAGTGTCGATAAGTCAGCCCTGGGTTGGGGCCCTGAGGACAGCACCCAGATATGCAAGGTCACCCTGACACTGGTACCAGGCCAGCCTCTGCCCTCGGGGGCCGGCACAACCTTCTCTGTTCCTTTCTTCCCAGTCCTATGGGTCGGTTCACCTGATCCTGGCACCAGCTTCCCCAGAAGGTGGTCATGAGTAGGACGGGTGTCAGTGCCACCGCCTGAGGTAAAATGGGAGGGGAGCAGGGTTCACCCCCCAGCACCCCTCTTATATCCCCAAGGTTTCCTCAACATGTGGCTGAATCTTGAAGGGCAAAGGCTGAGGGGAGGCCAGGCCCTGCTTCCTCCATGAGCCCCCTCCCAGCCCCAGCCCCTCAGCCTGGGGAGCAGCCCTGGAGTCTGGGCTCCCCCAGCCCCCCATTCTTCCCCCACTGTACTGTGAATATCCTGTGACTCAGCACAAAGACAGATAATATATTTAATTCATGTTGTACAGAAAGGAGCGATTAGTCTCCTGCAGGAGAGCTGACTGGTAGATCAATGCCAAAGATGGAGAACCGAAGCCCCCCTCCAGCCTAATGAGCGGGGCTGGGGCTTGCTTGTACACACACACACACACACATAAAGTGGAGAGAGAGTTTGGTTTGTGCTTGTCTCTGAACCATCCTGGGTGCCAGGGAACTCCCTGCTGCATTCAGGGCCGGATGAATGGGGATCACTGAGGGTTGCCTCAGTGGGGATGGAAGGGCCTGGGATCCTGTATTCTGGATCCCTAGGCCCAGGTTGGTGCTTGGGGCTGACCAGTAGAACGGTGTGCGGGGGGGCTGGGGGGGTCCCTAGTCTGGGGTGGAGCCCAGGATCTGGTGCACCGACCCTGGAATCCCTATACTAAATAGGATTATTGCTAGAAACCTCAAGTCCACCTCTTCTGCTGCTCAGGTTACCTCTTTATTAGGCTCTGGTCACCTTTCTGTCACAGACAGGCCTTGGTTCTCAGAGTCCTGCAGTTTTCCAACTCAGTGTCCAGGACTGTCCTCCCAGGACCATTCTGAGAATGCAAGACCCCCCCAACCACGCCCCCTGATGCTACCTACACTGTGTCCTCAACCCGGGTCTTGAGAACTTGGTGATTTGCCATCATACTTGAGGGGCAGCTGCTCCCCAGAGGTGGAGACCAATGTTTAGAGGCTGTTGATGTCTCCTCAGGCCACAAAAGTCAGGGGCAGGGTGGGCTTGATTTCTGCCCAGCACCAATTCCACGACACTAGACCTCTTCAGCTGTCCTAGGCAGCTAGACACCAAAGTGTAGGACCCGACCAGACCTCAGACAATTAGTGCTTACTGGGAGGGGACTGGGGGATCAGAGTGGAGGCTTTAAGCTGATTTTTTTTTCTTTTGATACATATCCCCAGCCCTTTTTATTTTTTAAGACGGGGTCTCAGGCTACATTGCCCAAACTGGCCTTGAACTTGAGATCCTCCTGTTTTAGCCACTGGGATTACAGGTTTTCACTGCTGCCCCTGACTTTAAGCTGAATTTGAAGGCAACCAGATGAAACCTGTCTATTAAGCACCTGCCCCATGCCAGACACCGTGCCCAGGCTTGTCTCATTGATCTGCACAATATCCCCTTTCCCTCTGCTTTGCCCGTGACAGCGGGCCCCCAGAGGTTAAGTGATTTGCCCCAGGTCTGTGTGCCACTCCAGCCCTTGGTCTTCAGGGAGGGGAGGAGCACGCAGGAGGAGAGATGAAGACGGTGCAGAGGGCCACAGGCAGCAAGCAAATGCGAGGAAGAGCCTGGGCATGCTGCTGTGCTGGAGCACCTGGAGGCCACTSTGTGGCCAGGGGACATGGCGAGCTTCTGCACGCAGACGCACCTACATCTTTCAGTCTTCCTGGGGCAGCTGTGGAGATATATTGAGGATTCCTAGTGTCCAACTGGAGCCATCAGAAGCTTCTGTCCTAGAAGGCTGCGGGACAGGACCCTGTGGGACATGCTCACAACAGGTCTTGTGTGTGGCAGGTGCTTGAAGACTTCCAGGGTAAAAATGATGGCTCTCAAGAAGAAGGGAGCTGAATTTAGGAGTGAAAAGGGTCCGAGTGACTGAAGGGCTGCAGGACCTGCCCCTGGGCTCCCCAAGGACAGATSGAGGCACAGCCCTGCCCCAGGTCCTGGTGCCCTCAGTTTCCTGGGCATCTGACAGTCACTTTGTTTTTGTCTCAAGTTGTAGGTGGACACAATGCCCTTCTTTTATTTGTTTATTTTTATGTGGTGCTGAGGAAGGAACCCAGTGCCTCACATGTGCTAGGCAAGTGCTCTACCACTGAGCCACAGACCCAGCGCGTGACAATCACTTTCCAATGTCACCTGTGGCCCTCTGCACCGTCTTCATCTCTCCTCCTGCGTGCTCCTCCCCTCCTTGAAGACCAAGGGCTGGAGTGGCACACAGACATGGGGCAAATCACTTAACCTCTGGGGGCCCGCTGTCATGGGCAAAGCAGAGAGAAAGGGGATATTGTGCAAATCAATGAGACAAGCCTGGGCACGGTGTCTGGCATGGGGCAGGTGCTTAATAGACAGGTTTCATCTGGTTGCCTCCAAATTCAGCTTAAAGTCAGGGGCAGCAGTGAACACCTGTAATCCCAGTGACTAAGACAGGAGAATCGCAAGCTACTAAACTCTTGAAAACAGGAGTCTGCCCATCAGTTGGAGTCCCTGGCTATAAGCACCTTCTGGTGAGCCATTGTCCCTTTTGGGTTCATTTTGCCATCTGCTCCTAGGATGGGTCAGGAAAGCCTGGTCCCTCCCACCGGCCTTCCCTTTCCCAATGCCCCCCACGTGGCAGGACCAGCCCTGTACTGGGCAGTATTGTGAGACCTTTTCCTTCTTCCTTGAAGCAGCATGGCCCTTTTGACCCATCTTCCCACCTCCACCTTCCCTAGGTCCTTCACTTCCAGGTGTGACTCCGGGGCATGCCCCTAAACCCTGTCTCCAGAGCCAATCGTCAGCACCATAAATTGGTCACAGCCTCAGTGCCTGAACCTGAGGACACAGGTGCAGGACACTCCAAGCTTGCCTTCCAGAATCTCAGTCCTGCTAGTAAAAATGGCCTTGCTTGTGACAAATTTTGTCAAGCACTCTCCTCCAGGCAGAGTGCCAGGTGCTGAGGATGAATGGTGAACAGGTCGCCGAGTCCCTGCTCCATGGAGCCCACRTTCAAGTGGAGAAGGAAGACATTCCCCAAATCAACACAAGGCATGCCAAGGGATTGGAAGTTCAAGAAGATCAAGCAGGGTCAGCAGATGTCAGGGTGCAGTGTGGAGGGCTGATGTACTAACATGGCCTGGGGCCCCTCTGGTGGAATCTGGGGGTGTTATGACTTGTAAGCGAGGGAGCCAGGAGGACACTCAGGAATATTCCAGCACAGAGAAGGTGAGAGAAGCACCTGCTGGCTATAAGCTATGAGCAAGAGAAGGTGAGACTGGAAAGACATTGCGGAGCAGCAAGAGGGTTGGATCATATATGCCTCTGACTTATTGAGTCAGGTGTGGTGGCACACACCTGTAATCCCRGTGACTCAGGAGGCTGAGGCAGGAGGATCCCAAGTTCAAAGACAGCCTCAGCAACTTATAAAGACCCTGTTGCAAACTAAAAAAGGGGGGGGGTGCTGAGGATGTGGCTCAGGGATTAAGCACCCCTGGATTCAATCCCTAGTACCAAAAAAAAAAAAAAAAAAACACCAAGACTTAGAGATAGCTGGCTTCAGCAGCTGCGCTGGATTCAATCAGTTTTTAACAGTGGGACCAGACGTCAGCCATCAATAGTTTTTAATAGATTCCCACAATGCCCCCCCCCCCCACTCCACATCTGGAGCTAGGGCTATAGCTCAGTGTTCAAGTGCTTACTTAGATGCACAATGTCCTGGGTTTGATCCCCAGTACCACACACCAAAAGGTCCCCAGATGACCCTGATGTGCAGCCCTGATTATGCAGAGTCCTGTAGGCCATGGTAAGGGCTCTGGATCTCAGTCTGAAATGGAAACTACGGACCTGCTTTTAAAAGCTCAGGAGATGGGGGCCCCCATTTGGATGGTGCTGTGTGGGCAAGGGAGGACCCCCTCTGGGCTATTAGCAGAAGTGTATCCGGCGTAGTGGGAGGGAAGCAGTGTGTCACTATGAGGTGGAATCTGCCAGCCTATTTCCCAGGGGAGGTAGCCAGGGCTCTGGGGTTAGGTGACTCTCCTGGCCACACAGTAAGGTGGAGGTTTGGTCCCAGGTCTGCCTTCCTGAGCAGCGGTGTGTTTTGCACCAATCCYGCTGCCTGGGGTGGGGTCGGGGCTGGCACTGATGCTCCACCTCTTTAGTTGCTTGGAGGACACACATCTGGATCCCCAGGGACTTGGAACAGCAMCTTTGCCTTCTGGTTGCCTACAAGCATGCCTGGTGGGTAGCCAGTAGGTGCTGAGAGTTAAGACAAAAGTCACTGTCCCCCCATCCCACAAGTGCCTCCTACCATTAATCACCCAGTCCCTCCTCTGGATCCTGTAGGCCTCTTACCAGCCACCAACCRAAGAGGCAGGATTGGGCAGTGGGGACCCCTGGTCCTGCTCTAACCACTCYGGCACTCTGTCTAGTGTCAGTTCTGATGGGCAGTGTCCAGCTCCAGACAAGAAAGCAAGAATCTCTGTAGTGGATGGAGAAGGGAAGTTAATGTGTAATGATATTAAATTGATCCTTCTGTGTGCCAACTTGTCACCTTGTTGTTGGTGACAAGTTGGATGGATGGGGCCTGGAGCAGCACTGATGGAATCACAGATGCTACTTGGCCAATTCCATTTTCACCCAAGGTTTTCGCCTCTCCTTTCCTTCCTCCTTCCTTCTCTCTCTCTCTCTCTCTCTCTCTCTCTCTCTCTCTCTCTCTCTCTCTCTCCCCCCCCCTCCCTTCCTCCCCCCCCTCCCTCCCTCCCTTCCTCCCTCCCTCCTCTTCCTCCTCCTGTGGGGCAGTAGGTACTACAATGAGAGGTCCTGAGTAACACTCAGACCACGAGATCAACAACCTGACCCAGCCAGGCATGCGGGCGCCTGTAGTCCCAGTTCCTTGGGAGACCARTTCAAGGGGAGAACCCCACCCCCCGCATCTCTTGCATGAGTAAATAAGTAAATAACAACCTGGCCTCTTCCCTGGGGAAAACTTTTTACAGTTTCTCTCTGTCCACCCTGGCCTCAAATCCCTGAACAAGTACCTCTTTGTGTGTATGTGGTGCTGGGGATGGAACCCAGGGCCTTGTGCATGCGAGGCAGGCGCTCTACCAACTGAGCTCTATCCCCAGCCCCTGAGCAGGTCTTGATGTCACTCTTTCTCCTGCACTCTGCTCCGCTTCCTGGTGGTGTCAACACATGACTTGGGGCACYGTGGCAGCAGCCAAGTGGGCCTGAGGTGCTCTGCCCCAGCCCAGTAGACGGCGTCACCTGCTTTCCTGACACTGTCATCATTTGCCTCTGCTCCTTTCTGGGCTAGAAGCTTCTCCCCCCAGTTTCTCATCTTCCTGTCTCCTGAGCTTCTCCCTCTATTTCCTCAGTCTCCATCAGATGGTTCCAGACTACC